TTCGGTGCGTCGGGTGTGGAGGCCGCCATCACTGTGCAGACTGCCATTTCCACTCCATCATCTGCAGGGCATGTGGTAGGCAAGGCCACATTGCATCCGTCTGTTTGGGTCATCAGAAAGAACGTTACCCAGAAGCATTGCCTCAGAAAGGTATCAGGGTCCCTAGCCAGAACAGGGTGGGTTTCTGCGCATCACATAGGAGCATTTTTAAAACGGGGATCCACAGGCCACTTAGGAAGAAGCTTCACATCAACGTGAAGTTGCAAGGGGTCCCCTTGTTGATGGAGCTGGACACAGGGTCCTCTCTATCGATCATCTCCCTAGACACCTTTAACAAGGTTTGCAGCAGGAGCGGCCTACGGGTTAAACTCACGCCGTTGAACCTCATCCTCACAGATTTCCAAAATTCCAGAGTCAACATGAGGGGGGAGCCCACGCTCAAGATGCAGCATAGGAATTTTGAAGGGCTGCTAGATGTAGTTGTGGTTGGGGGAGACCGCACGAGCCTTATTGGACTCGACTGGCTTGAGGCCCTTGGGATTCAGGTGACTGGAATAAACAGAATGCAAACGACAGGCCTGGCTGGGGTCTGCAACGAGTTTGCAGATGTGTTTAGTCCAGAACATGGCTCCTACAAAGGTCCTCCTATTTCTCTGAGGCTGGACCCAGCCATAGCCCCATTAGAATCAAGCCATGCTGGGTGCCCTTTGCATTAAAAAGTAAAATAGATGAAGAGCTGGATAAGCTGATTCAGCAAGGCATCTTAGAGCCTGTGGACAGTAGTCCTTGGGAAACCCCCATAGTCATGCCACTGAAGGCCAATGGTGAAGTCCGAATCTGTGCGGACTACAAGTGCATGCTTAACAAAGCACTGCAGCAGCATTTGTACCCAGTACATGTGGTCAGCCACATTCTGGCCTCCCTCAAAGGGTGCTGGATCTTTGCTAAGCTTGACCTGGCTTAGGCCTATCAACAATTGCCAGTTGATCAAGCAACGGCCGAGGCACAAACCATAGTAACCCACAGGGGAGGGCATTCAAGGTAAAAAGACTGCAGTTTGGTGTCAGTGTGGCCCCTGGCATCTTCCAGAGTGTGATGGAGTGAACCCTCCACAATATCCCTGGTGTTTGCCCATACTTTGATTATGTCCTCATCGCTGGGAACTCATCAGACAATTTAGCTGAGAGGCTGAGAGCCATTTTGCTACTTTTCCGCCAAGCGGAGCTGAAGCTAAGGCAAGACAAATGTAAGATTGAGGTTACCTCCATGGAGTTTCTGGGATTCCGCATTGATGCCCAGGGCATCCACCCTGCTGAATCCAAGCTGCAAGCAATTTAGCAGGCCCCAAGTCCCAAATCCAAAGGCGAACTTCAGGCCTTTCTGGGACTGTTAAATTTTTACCACTCATTCCTTCCACACAAAGCTGCAGTGGCTGAGCCGTTACACTGGCTCTTGGACAAACAGGCTCCATGGCAGTGGACACAAGTCCATGAAAAGAGTTTCAAAGAGGTCAAGGCCTTGCTCTCTTCAAATGCGGTCTTAGAGCATTTCAATGAGCAATTGCCGGTGTGCATCGCCTGTGATGCATCCCCTTATGGAATTGGGGTGGTGTTAAGTCACTTGAAGGCAGATGGGGCACAAGTTACAATAGCCTACTACTCTAGGACCCTATCATCAGCTGAACGCAACTACGCACAGATAGATAGGGAAGCCTTAGCTTCACGGTTTTTACAGACCATAAGCCACTGTTGGGTTTGTTCACAACTAGCAAACAAACCCCACAAATAATATCCCCAAGAATGCTGAGATGGTCTATCTTCCTGTCTGCATATGACCATACACTGATTCACAAACCAGGCAAAGACATGGGCCATGCAGATGGCCTCAGCAGATTACCTCTAAAGCAGATAGAGGCAGATCCTGCTCCTGCTCTTCACATTCTTTCCATTCAAGAATTGCCTGAATCTCCCCTCAACACTAGTGACGTGGCTGCAGAAACTGCCACTGATCACACGCTTACATGCGTGCTGACATGGGTGTTGTCAGGATAGCCTGACACATGTCCAGGTGCAGAATTCCAAAGTTTCTGGCAAAGGAAGCACGAGCTTTCCATTTTCAAGGTTGCCTTTTATGGGGTAGCAGGGTAGTGATTCCAACTTCATTGAGGACTAGAGTCTTGCAGTCTCTACATGAGGGACATCCGGGAATAGTCCAGATGAAGGCGTTAGCACGTAGCCATCTTTGGTGGCCTGGGCTCAATAAAGACACCGAGGCTCAGGTCCTGAGATGCCCCAGGCCCCAGTTCATAGGTGGGTGGAGACTCATACCCCTTGGTCGAGGGTCCATATCAACTACGCTGGGCCCTTTCAGGGGCAATTCTTCCTACTCCTCGTGGACAGCCATTCCAAGTGGCTAGAGGTTGTTCCTGTCTCCTTCACTACTTCTGCTAGGACAATCCAGGTGCTGAGAGGAATCTTCGCCTCACATGGTCTTCCAGATGTCCTTGTCTCCGACAACGAACCCCAATTCACATCTTCTGAGTTTCAGGCTTTTCTCCAAGCCAACATGATCCGGCATGCCACATCTGCACCGTTCCATCCAGCTTCCAATGGCCAAGCTGAGCATATGGTGCACACTGCCAAAGATGCTTTAAAGAGGATCACTCACGGCAACTGGCATCACAGGTTAGCTGACTTTCTTCTTTGCCACCACACCACACCGTGCACAGCTACTGGAAAGAGCCCAGCTGAACTCCACTGGGGTCATCACCTCATCATGAAACTGGACAGGTTGCATCCAGACCAGATGGCTTCACAGGTGTCGCAGCTGCGGGCACCTAGGAGACTACAGGTGGGCGATCTGGTCTGAGCAAGGATTATGGACCTGGACATCTCTGGGTGATAGCAGTAGTATGCAAGGTCTCAGGGCCACTGTCATACAAAGTGGCCTTGGAGGATGGTCGTGTAATTTGATGGCACATCGATCAGCTTCACTAGCGTCTGCCCAGCAACTCTTCCGCTCCTGGCTCGGCTCTTGAGGGAGAGGAAGACCACAATCACAATTGTGGACCATAGTCTCTCCATGATGGGGGAGTTTCACAAGGGCCAGAAGGGGGTTTGGCCAACGAGGCAGCTCCTGACTCGGCCATCGGGTCTATGGAACAAGACAGCCAACCGGAACATCAGGGCAATCCATCTACTGGTCTTGGCCTTGCAGAACAGTGTTTCCAAGAGGAGTCCAGTGTGGGCTTGGGGAATACCACCTCACCAAGGAACTCTGGTCTGGAGTTACAGGCTCCAGCCAGTCAGTATAGTGGAGGATCGCCTGAGTCAAGGGGGCATCAAAGTCCTGGTCTGCCAAGCCTGGCAGGCAAGCTCGCAGGCCAGGCACCAACTCCGGCCCCGAGAAGATCAGGGTGGGCCTTACAGGACTATGCAAGGTCCTTGTCAGTTCATGGGCAGGCCTAGTAGTCTGGGTTAAGTAAATGTAGATCAAGAGGAGTGGTGAGTATGGTGGTAGTAAAATTGTAGCTTGTTGCGTATATATGCAATGTAAGCAATGTAACGGAGTGTTGGAGTATTTAAAATAATAACTGTGCCTTATCATTTTATCCAAGGGGGGTGGGGTGTTATGTCCTGGGCCTGCAGACACAGGCTGCAACCATTGGCCCAGGCAGACCACGTGGATGCCAGAAAGGCGGGCATGCGCAAGGCGGGAAAAAGCCCTTGCAACGATTGGCCAACAAAGTACCTTGCAGGGGACTATAAAAGGGACCGCACCATTTTGTAACCAGTTCTGTTGCTGTTTGGAATGCAGAAGACTTGCTTTGTGTTACTCGCTTCGTCTCAATGCCTGTGACTCGCAAACAGAACACCTTTCACTTTCATTTCCAAATTTAACTAATTATTACTTCCACAACTAGTCACTAGACTTTCAACTAGTCATATTGCCCTCATAAATATAAAAATATTTACTTGTTTTCTTTATTTTGGGCAAAACAGTAGTATTAGTAAATTATTTATTTACTTAGTCAATGCATTTTCTCATCTTTTCTTTGGTATTGTCTCATTTCAGTCCCTTTTCTATTCCTTAGCTGTCAAAATAATTCTGTTCTCACTTTGCTTATGTAATGCTCCTCTTTGTATCACTATATTTATTTGTGCTCTTGCACAATCTTTAGAGTCTTCCTAGTTTTGGAAAAAATATGTTGCATAGGCTCTAATACAAATAGTGTACTATCTTCAATGGTACTAGATAAGTGGTTCTCAACCTTTCTAATGCCGCGACCCCATAATACAGTTCCCCATGTTGTGGTGACCCCCAACCACTTATACATCACTGGGTGCCAGGGGCGTGGCCAAAGAAAAGGGGGAAAAATGGTGGACAGCCTTGTTTGGCGACCCCCATGAAATGGTCGTTCGACCCCAAATGGGGTCCCGACCCACAGGTTGAGAACCACTGTACTAGATTGATCTCCAAGCCTTCAAGCAACTCAAGCTCCTATTTTCAACCAAAACCATCAAAAAAGATGAAGGAACCTGTGATCTTCAGGAATAATATTCACAGTGGCTTAAGTGATTTTATGGCACTGAATTGAATCTACTCTTCCAAAATTAGTTGAGGTGCAATAAAAATTAGGCTTTTGCAATAGCAGTTTCTGGGAATTCCTATCTTTAATAATTTCAGTTGATTAAAAGCTCAGTTTTAGGCACTGGTTAAAACTCTTCTTTTGGAAAATCAAGAATAGGATTATTGGAAAGTAAATATGGCTGTATTAATTAATAATCTGTTGTCTTATGCTTTATCATTTAGTTTTATTTTAGTCTTAAATACTTTGCATTCCTTGTAACACAAATTAATATTTAGTCAGAGCAGATTCATTGAAGTTAATGATATTTAAGTTAGGCATTGTTTACTTATCACATGAATTTCACTGTGTCTATTCTAAGCACAATTCAGTCTAAATCTGCAATTTCTTAAATAAATACAATAATTCTTACCTCACCAACCATTTTCACATCTTCTCGACCATACCAATCAGGTTCATATACTTCATGAAGAGACTCTGTAAGCTTTTTGGAAGCATCTTGCATGCCTAAAATTTTTGAGCACAAAGAGTCTGTTGTTCACAACTGTAATTTCAAGGTTGGATTCCATTTGATCTGCCTTTATCAGTGTCATCTCTGAAGTTCATAAACATTCAATAAGGCTACAAAACAGGATTTTGTTAGAATTTATTATTTTGAACATTATTTCAAAAATAATAAAATGATAAAAAATTAGTAATGATTGATGTCAATAACAAATGAGAATACTAAAAAATGAAATGAGGTTGAATATATATATATATATATATATATATATATATATGTAGGTCTTTGGTTGTTCAGGTTTTCTCCCGCGTAAAATTGGAAGTGTCTTGGAGACGTTTCGACGAAGTCTCATTCGTCATCTTCAGGCCGGTGGTTTTGGCTTCGTGCTTCTAGGAGCAATGTGTGGTTGTAGCTGTTTCCTCCTTTTAACTGCCAGTGGGGGTATGAACTGATTGGATGAGAGCTTGGCTGTGTTCTGATTGGATGGAGGTGTGTTCTGATTAGTTAGGAGCTTGGCTGTGCTCTAATTGGCTGGGGGGTTGGCTGTGCTATGATTGGCTGGGGGGTTGGCTACGGAGTTGATTGGCTGGGGAGTGTCTTGGCTACGGAGTTGATCTGTGCTGGGTGGTGGTGTGAGAGAGCATGCAGATAGTGGTTTGTGTGTGTTTTCTTCTGGTATTGTCTATCCAACACATATTTCATCTATAACGGACAAAAATACAAACAAATAGAAGGAGCACCCATGGGATCACCTCTCTCACCTGTCATTGCAAACCTCTACATGGAACACTTTGAAACCCAAGCTCTAGAAAAATCTGAACACAAACCCAAACTCTGGCTCAGATACGTAGACGACACCTTCATAATCTGGCCACATGGGAAAGAAAAACTGGACAACTTCCTCATACACCTCAATAGCCTACAGCCCAAAATACAGTTCACCATGGAAACAGAAGCTAATTACCAACTTCCCTTCCTAGATGTCTTAGTCTACAAGAAATCCAATGGCTCCCTATGACACATCATCTACCAGAAGAAAACACACAAACCGCTATCTGCATGCTCTCTCACACCACCACCCAGCACAGATCAACTCCGTAGCCAAGACACTCATCTCTAGAACAAAACGCTTAGCTGATGAACACCTAAAAACCGAACTACACACTCTCACTAATGTACTTACATCCAATGGATTCCAACGAAATAAGATTACCAAACTAATCCAAAAAGAAACCCCCACTAAAACCCAAGACAGAGAACAAGAAGGCGGCAAAGCCCTCCTCCATTACATAAAAGGCACCACAGACAGAATCAGTAAGATCCTCCACAAACACAACATTAAGACAGCATTCTGCCCAAACAGAAAAATATCCACGATCTTAAGAAACCCCAAAGATAAAATTGAATTAGAAAATCAAGGAGTATATGAAATCCCATGCACCACTTGTCCCACCACATACATCGGACAAACCAACAGAAGAATAAGTGCACGCATTGAAGAACATAAGAACTCAGTCAAAAAAGAGGAACCAACATCTTCCCTGATCCAACACCTTAAAATCACAGGACATGAAATTGACTTTAAAAATACCAGAACCATTGCCAAAAGTGAACATTTTAATAACAGACTAATCAGAGAAGCCATCGAGATAGAAAAACGCCCACGCAGCATGAACAAACGAGATGATACCTCCTGCCTACCAGCCATTTGGAAACCCGCCCTTATTGACAAACGACTCCCTGACACAAAAAATGACACCAGACCCACACTCACAAAAACCACACAGAATGTCACCACCACACATCCACGCAAAAAGCAAACCCAAAGCCACACTGATGATGAGGCACGACCACAAACCAGAAGCCAGACCACAGCTGCATCATTAGCCACTTTAAACCCCTCCAATCCATACATGAAACAAACTGACACCCACCATGAAGATGAGGCACCACCACGAACGCGAAGCCAAAAAATAGCAATGCAGCTCACCATTTTAACCCCCCCGGCAACTCAGACTAACCTGAGCACAACAACGCCCCCACCCAAACAGAACACTCCCCCAGCCAATCAGAGCACAGCCAACCCCCCATCCAATCAGAGCACAGCCAACCCCCCAGCCAATCAGAGCACAGCCAAGCTCCTAACCAATCAGAACACACCCCCATCCAATCAGAACACAGCCAAGCTCTCATCCAATCAGTTCATACCCCCACTGGCAGTTAAAAGGAGGAAGTAGCTACAACCACACATTGCTCCTAGAAGCACGAAGCTGAAAGCACCAGACTGAAGATGACAAATGAGACTTCGTCGAAACGTCGCCAAGACACTTCCAATTTTACGTGGGAGAAAACCCGAATAACCAAAGACCTACATATATATATATATATAATCACTTCTTATTTAGCTATTCTGTCTTTGTTTTATTGCCAGTATAAATGGAGTTATGCTTAGCAGAAAACTCATTTATATGGAGTTCTTTTTTTTTGCGTATTTTCTGCTGACTCCAAGTTTTGTCTGGATTCAATCATGGAAGAAAACTTTAAATGTAATTACACACATTGGATGGACAAAGGTAAATAGGTTAAGGAAACAGCTCTGTTGTTTGCTTTCTTTACAACTGCATAAAATTCCAGTTCAAAACATACAGCTCAAACCTATCTGGTTTCTTTCATATGGAATTTGATGAAAAATAGCTCTTATAGAATAGAGCTGATAGAAATAGAGTGTACTTAGATTTTCAGTGATATAAATCGTAGAAACAATCAAATTCTAAGCCATAATTTATTATAGAACAATTGTCAGTTTAAAAATTAGCTAAAAATATGACTATTCAGGACAAACAGACTTTGGCTGAGTTGACTGGTTTTGAAACTGTTGATAAGACAAAATATTTGGGGGTCACTTTATCTGTTTCTAATGCAAAATTGTTTAAGAATAATTATGAAAGGCTGTGGGCCAGTGTACAGAAGGACTTGAGGAATTGGGAGAAGTTACAGTTATCTCTCATGGGACGAATTGCAGTGATTAAAATGAATGTCCTGCCCAAATTTCTCTTTTTGTTTCAAATGTTACCTATTTTAAAGAACGAGGTTAATTTGAATGAATGGCAGAAAGGTATTAACAAATTTATTTGGGCAGGGAAAAAACCAAGGGTAAAGTTTAAAATTATGCAGGACTTCCGTGAGAGAGGTGGACTCAAGGTACCGAATTTGAAATTATATTATGATGCAGTGGTTTTTACGTTAATTAGTGATTGGGTAAACTTAACAAATTCAGAGATACTCCATTTGGAGGGATGGGATTTACTTCTTTGGTTGGCATGCCTATTTAATATTTAATAAAAAAGTGGATCGGGCTTTTAAATCTCATATTTTAAGGATTTCTCTACTTAGAGTCTGGAGGAAATATTATAAAAGTGATTTTAAAATACCATTATGGGCCATACCTTGGCATGCGATAGAGGGGATAAAGAGAGGTGTTAAAATGGATACGGTGTCTTATACACAATTACTTAGATGGGATGGTCTAAATTGGCAGTTAAAATCTTTGGAAGATTTGTTACATGAAAATATTATGGATCGTAATTTAGGTTTGCTTAGAGAAGATCAAAATCTTTTCAAGCAAGTAAAGGATCAAAGACAAACTCATATTAAAAGAATTTATGGGGTGCTAGTGGAACTGGATTCAGAATCAGAATTAATTAAAGATTGTATGATTAAATGGGCGCAGAATTTTGGTGAACCAGTTCTACTGGATACCTGGGAAACTATCTGGGTGAGAAATGTTAAGTTTACACAAGCCCAGAATTTAAGGGAGAATTTTTATAAAATGTTTTATAGATGGCACCTTGATCCACAAAAGATGTCTCTCATGTATCCTGACTTACAGCCTAAATGTTGGAGATGTGGCTGTTTGGATGCCACTTATTATCATATTTGGTGGTCGTGTAAAAATATAAAAGCTTTTTGGATTAAGATATGGTGGAACATTCAGAGAATTTTTAGAAAGAGGGTAAAATTTACTCCACAATTGTTTTTGCTTGGTATTGTTACTGATTGTGATGCTAAGGAGGTTATATTGATGTTGAATTTGATTACAGCCGCAAGGCTGCTAGTAGGTCAATATTGGAAGAAGGAATCTTTGCCTACTTTGCAAGAGTGGTTTTTTAAAGTATCTTATTTGGCGGAAATGGCAAAGATTTCGGCTTTCTTAAAAGAGCAAATGCAAGAGAAATTTTTTGCTGTATGGGAAAAATGGATAAATTTTATACAATTTAAATTGGATATGAAAAAATACCATTTAGCTTTTTTATAACTTGTATAAAAACTCTACTTTTTTTTCTTTGCTTTGCTTTTTTTTTAAATATTTTTTTCTTTTTAAGGTTTATAATTCTTTATTCATATATATTTTGTTCTTAATTATCTTATAATTTTGTTAATTTCTTTTAATTAAGCCTATATTCTGCTCTGGGAAGCTCGGGGGGGAGGGAGGGGGTGATTTGGGAGGGGTTGGGGGAGGGTTGTATTGTTTTGTTTTGTTTTTTTGTCTTATTGTAGTTGTCATTGTTTTTTTTCTGTCTTTGTAAAAGTTTTTAAAACATTTTCAATAAAAAAAAATTGGATCATTTCATAGTTCTTTTAATCTGTTGTTTCAGGAGGATCCTCATCTGAAGGATCATTTTTTAAAAACATTTTTGCTACTGTGATGCCCCCCCCCCTTGATTTTTGGCTCATCTATTACTTTTAGTCCTTGAGCTTCTTCTTCAGTGGCCTCTCTCTTCTAAACTTCTCTCCATACTTGTCTAAAACCATTTTGATATCTTTCTTCACTCCATGCCCCTTGCTTTTTCAAGTCTATAAGGACAAACCTGCCTGGCCGATTTTGAAAAATATAATCAGTATTGGACCTGATGAAAGATCACCAAGAAATACCCGGTTGTAGGCCAACCACTTCCATATTTTTGCCTCCACACTCAACTCCAGGCAAACATTTTGGTCACATCATAGAGTGGGCATCTGCAACCACGTACTTGTCAGAACCATAAGGAAGGATTTCAGTGTGCCTTTCACAGTGCGGGATTTCTTTCATCATCACCTTTTCTCCCCCTTGCTAATACAAAGCATTTATGAGTACCCTTTTATCTTTTTTTTTAATATTGGAATACCAGTAATATGCTATTAGCCCAGTGTGATTTCATACCTTTCTATTCAGATGTGAATCTAACTGGGTTCAAATGGAGATTCTTCCAGTGTAAAAGGATATTAGAATATCATTGACTGATTAATTGATTGATTGATTAATTCATTCATTCTCATTTTTAAACTGCTCATCTCCCTCAAAGAGTAATTATTTACTTTTTGTATTTAATCAAAACATACAGAATCAGATATAGTACTGAGGTAATTTCTGGGGGAAAAGACAAATAAAAGATATCCTTCTGTTCCACTTCTTTATTTTTCATCACTGATTATAACATATAGACAAAGTATTATTAGGACAAATACTTTTAAAATTTTTGCTCACTTATTAAATTCTGCCAGGTTTCCAGCTATTGTGAAGTGAGCAATAAATTTGGGGCTCCTGAAAGTAAAGTAAATTGCAGAAGAAATGCAGCCCATATTAGGTTGCTTTACCTATAGTTAGCTGAAAGAATATCATGTTTCTAAAAAGGGAAGGAAAATAAATTCTTTGTTAAGAAAATGGGCATTAAGACAGCATGCCAGAAAAAAAAACCTCTAACAGGAGGAAAAACAAAACAAAAAAATCTATCTGAATTTTGTTAGGTCTTGCCTTGTCCACTTAGGGAAAAAATATCTCCATGAGCTCTTTGGTAAATTAAATGAAACTATACACTAAACTGATGAACATTAAGCTCCTCATCTTATTCAAACTTGGAGAAAGTCAGAGGGATGACTATTTTTTAATATTTCTGAACAATGCCAATTCAATGGCTGGATATACTGTACTTTATCCAACTAGCAGTTAAATATATGACCTAAATCTTACAAAGTGAAAAATTGGAAAGTCAGAGATCTTCCCATTAGGAAATACTTCGGTACTGTGCAAAAGTGATAAGCAGTTGTATAAATATGCTGTAAATTAAGAATGCTTTCAGAAATAGAAGTGTTAATAGTTTGTTTTTATCAATTAACAAAATGGAAAGTAAATGAAACATCCAAATTAAATCAATATTGTATGCCCACTCTTTGCCTTCAAAACAGCATCAATTCATACGCTTGCACAAGTCAGGGATTCTGTAGGATTAGAGTGAGGTGGATTAACCAATTATATCAAGCAGGTGCTAATGATCATCAATTTCACATATAGGTTATTAATTGAAATAGTAACAACTATGTAGGAGGTTTAAACTCGCCCAGGAACAGCCAAACTTTTCTTGGGTGAAGTTCTGAAAGACAGTTTCATGTTACAGGTCATACACCATAGCAACACTGAGCACAGAAACAAGACAAAAGGTATACAATGATACTGCATCAGCAAGGTCTCGCCCAGGCAATGGTTTCAAAGCAGGCTGGGATATCAAGGTGTGCTGTTCAAACTCTTGAAAAAGCACAAAGAAATGGGCAATGTTGAGGATCGTAGACACAGTGGCTGACCAGGAAATTAATGCAGATAAAACACCACATCGTGCTTACTTTCCTTCAACAATGGAAGATGTCCAGCAGTGCTATCAGCACAGAACTGGTGGAAACCAATGGGACCCCCCATCTACTGTACAGTACAGTACACCCATCTACTGTCTGGAGAAATCTGGCCAGAAGTGGTCTTCATAGAAGAATTGCAGCCAAAAAGCCATACCTTTGACATGGAAACAAGGCTAAGTGATTCAACTGTACACAAAAACATAGGATCTGGAGTGCAAAAAAAAAATGGCAGGACATGCTCTGGACTGATGAGTCAAAATTTGAAAAATTTGGCTACAGCAGGAGGCAGTCTGCTTGCTGAAGGGCTGTATGGAGAGTGATACAATAGTAAGTGTCTGCAGGCAACAGTGTGGCATAGTGGAAGATCCTTGCAAATTTGGGACTGCATTTCTGCAAATGGAGTTGGAGATTTGGTCAAGACCAATGGTGTCCTCAGTGCTGAGAAATACAGGTAGATACTTATCCATGATGCAATACTATCAGGGAGGTGTGTGATTGGTCCCAAATTTATTCTGCAGCAAGACAATGGCCCCAAATATATAGCCAATGTCATTCAGAACTATCTTCAGCATAAAGGAAAACCAGAAGTCCTGGAAATGATAATTTGGCCCCCAGGGAGCCTTGATCTCAACATCATCAAGTCTGTTTGGGATTACATGAAGGGTTTCATGCAGCCTACATCCAAAGAAGATGTAGAAGATATTTGGATCGTGAAGGAACTTTTTTGAGTTCCTTCAAAAACTGTATGCTAGTGTACTTAGAAGAATTGATGCTGTTGTGAATATTGATTTGGTTTGGATTTCTCTTCTATACACTTACTTTCCACTTTGCTAGTTGATAAAAATAAACTATTAATATCTCTATTTCTGAAAGCATTCTTAATCTACAGCATTTTTGCACAACTGCCTAACATTTTTGCACAGAACTGTATATGTGGGTTTATATTTGGGGAGACTGCTGCAGTTTAGAACAATAATGACCTTTCTCACTGAGCTGATTCTTATATCTCATGCGAACTAGCAGTTTCATTCTTCTATTAGACTCAGTTTGATAGGCCATTGGCGACACCTGGAGAAAATAACTTCACAAGCTTCACAAAGAAATAGTTAAATTTTACATTTAAAATTTGCAGCAAAAATCTAAAATGTATTGTTTTCATTGCAATTACCTTTAATTGCAGCTAAATATCCTCTAAGCTCTTTTTGAAGTCTGGAACCTTCTGTCTGAAATACAAAATAGAAATAAAATAAAAATCTGTAACCAATTCAGATCCACAAAGAACTGAATTCCCATATGTGATTATTATATATATATTATATGCAGTACACAGCTGTATAAATATAGTGTAACAGACAAATTTAATCTCTTAAAAAACTAAAATAAGGAAAATGTTCTCTGGCAAGCAGCTAAAAATCCCCACATATATACCAAGTGATTCTATTATGTAGCTAGTTTCTATACTATAATGCAAAAACAATTTTCTACAATATACTAGGCTTCAATGCAAGTCATTTGATGTCTATGGAGATTCTCAATCATCCAGGTCATGGTTGTCCCAAAGGTGCTTTTCAAAAGACAAGTGGACTTTCTTGGTTTTTTTCCTTGAAAATTTTTGCTTCTCATCCAAGAAATGGAATGTTGCCCTTGAAACGCACTTTTGGGATAAGTTATTTGATGTTTTTGGTTCTGCTCCTTGCAACTATGAAGGAACTGACATGCCCAGAAGATCCAAAATGCATGGTGTACTGCACGGTATTGTACTCTAGTGGAGATCCAATAAAGGTATAGTGGTTAAACATATTGGACTACTGTGTTACGCAAAAATAACACTCGGTCTTATATTTTTTTTGCCTCCAAAAGAGACCGGGGCATGTCTTATTTTTCCCCCTGACACCTGCCTCATGGCGGCAGCACCAACCACCCCATCCAGCAGGAGCCCACGTGACTGCTGAGCCACTTCTGTGGCCACTCGTGACAGGAGGCCACGTAGCCCGCTGTGCCGTGCTGCCACCATGAGATGAGGCAGGTGGAGGAGAGGGTAGAACTGTCCCAAGCATCCCATAGACACCCAAACACTTTTTGCCCAGAGGGAGACTGGATCCTTCATCTACTTGCAAATGAGGCAGTTGTAAACTGAGGGGTTTGCTCCATTTCCAACTATCCCATCTGCAAGCAGACAAAACTTCCAGTCTCCGTCATTTCTCTGTCCAGGCAAAAAGTGTTTGGGCGCCAATGGGGGGCCGGAAACTGAGCGATTCACCGTTGGCTCCTATGCACTTGCTGCTGCTTATGCTGGCCATGCCCACTTCCCAGTCTTATTTTTGGGGTAGGGCTTATATTAGGCCCACCCCCCAAAAAATCAGGCTAGGGCGTATTTTCAAGGTGGGTGTTATTTTCAGGGAAACACAGTAGCAATGGGGAGATCCAAGTTCTAATCCTCTCTTAGGAATGGAAATTGGAAATCATGCAAAGACATTAACTGTATAAAACCTGTACTCAACTTAGTTCTGAGAGGAAATTTTTCATATGTTTGTCCAATCCAATCCAGATAGTCTTCAACTTACAAGCACAATTGAGCCCCAAATTTATATTGCTAAGTGATAAATTGGTTAAATGAGTTTTGTCCCATTTTATGACCTCACTTGCCACATTTGTTAAGTGAATCACTGCAGTTGTTAAGTTAGTAACATGGTTGTTAAGTGAATCTGCCCCCCATTGACTTTGCTTGTCAAAATGTTGCAAATGGTGATCACATGACTCTGGGACACTGCAACTGTCATAAACATGAACCACTTGTTGAGCATTCAAATATAAATCACATGACCATGGGGATGCTGCAACAGTCATAAATATGAAAAATGTGCTGTTGTAACTTTGAATGGTCATTAAATTATTGTAAGTTGAGGACCACCTGTACCATTTTCTCTCTCCCAGCCAAAGGAAAGGTTCTGTTAATCAAGGTCTACTTAAAACAAACCCAGAAGTATTTAAAAAGAGAAAAAATAGACATCAAAGCATGAATTACTGTACCTTTATTCTGAATATGTTAGGAGCAAATATTTCAAGTATTCTCATGAGTATAGACCAAAAAAATGATAATTTGCTTTTGAGGTCAGTAAATACAGAGTTATTATGGAAAGTTCAAAACTTTTAGGCAAAGATCATCTCTTTGTTTAATATATAACAGCAGAGAACTACAACATATCTGTAATCAACAGCAAATTCAGTCATAAGTACTTATATTTTAATCACATTTTTTTTTTTGTTCAGGCTTTCGAAAACTGCTCCCATAATATTAAACACAACTTTAACCTCAAATCTTGATACTTTGTTTGGTTGGATCTATTCCTTTGGGTCTTAAAAAAATAGAAAGTAAACTCAATGGGTAATAAATAAATCTACAATGCAAAGAGTACTGCATGTTCTACTTAACAGATAAATTAATTATAAACATTTTGAGTATGTAATATTGCCCAACATTTACTTTCAAAATATAATTAGTTACAAGAAGGTGATTTCCTGTAACTTAAAGCAATGTGTGAATTTCACCATCAGTTAAAGATCATGATCTAAGACTTGAAGGTCTATCATTATCTTTTCATGATCTATGTTCTAATTTAATAATCCTTAGACTTGTTAAGTGGTCAAACTTTGTATTGTATTCATGTAATAATTTTGTAGATACTCCATGACACTGAGGTCTAAGAATGGGATCTTGCTTAGGGTTTCCAAGGGAAATAAGGATGTTTTTAGATCAACTGTTGGGCCGCAACCCACTACCAGGCCGTGCCTGATTGAGAACTGGGCCTCTAAAGCAGCAAGCAAACATGTGAAGCTTCATTTGTGCATGCGTAGGATTTTGGTGGTGCGTGGAAACAATTCCTTCCCCTCCCCCCACTGGCTAAACCACCTAAGCCACTGCTACTGCTGGTCCACAAAACTAAAAAGGTTGGGAATCTTTGTTTTAGATCACAACAAATATTAAGTCAAGACTTTCCCTCAGGATTTCAAGGATTTTCCCCATAATTAATGCTACATTTAAGTATGATTTGAGGGAAGCATCTCTTAACATAATATTTACGCTGATGCCTTGAAAAGTGGACAATAGAGGAAGCTGTTAGAAAAGTCCACAATTAATCTTTTTCAAACATTGCCTGAGCATATATTTCCATTGAAATGCTTCAGTTGGCTTGAATCATGAAATGCATTCTGGAAACATCAGAAGAGCCTAATCAGAGAGCCTCCTTAAACAAGTTGTTTAACAAACACTCACAAATCAATTGTGTTTGGTTGGCTAAAGAGAAACAATTGAAATAAAATACAATTAGTACAGGCTGTAAAACACAGATAGGCTCCATGACCCTTTTTTAAACAAGAAAAGAAAGCCATTAAATTAAGGTATTTGGCAGTTCTGTCATCTGCTGGATTAAATACAAGTATGACTGTTTGATTAATGTATTTAGGGGGCTGTTTTCATTTGTACCAAATTCTAACATGTAATGCATTCCAGTCTAACATGTAATGCATTCCAGTCACGTTACAATGAATGGCTCCATCTCATTCTTTCCTTAAGAACCATGGGAATTGTTTCACTATTCACTAAAAAAAAGAAAGCTAATAATAAAGCAGAGGAAACAGCGTTAGTACTAACAATAATGATCATTACTGCACAATTGGAACTCAAGAAGTTATTAAGAAACTGCAGTTAGACTGGGCATTTTACAGCTCCTGAGCACATCTGGCCCTTTGGCTGACCCTGTACAGCTCCCATGAGATCAACTGGAAATTAGAAATCAAATATAAATAAGTTTATTGTAGGTAGCGGGAGAAGAAGCTGAACTGGGTCCAGCTTTGCACAGTCACCATGCATTCCTTCAGTTGGCAGGTAGCTCAGGAGGGCGAGGAGAGTGAGTGCTTTTCTGGGCCTGTGCAATGTTTGCCCCTAACCAACCTGAGATAATGGCAGCAGTCACTGCGTGAGGGGAGCCAGACTTGGCCACCCACTATCGTTTTGGTCAAAGTATGGGCAAGTGGGTGGAGGGTAGCCAATAGCTATTGGTTTGCCTTCCACAACAGTCTTAGTTCCTCATGTGGCTCCTTGGAAAAGTTAATTGCCCATTCCTGAATTAGACCAATGCTGAGAACAAGACCAATACTGTCCAGGGGAATGTAAACATTTGATGATGATGATGAGGAGGAGGAGGAGAAGGAGAAGGAGGAAGAGGAGATGACAAAAATGCCAAATCTAATCTGAACATCTGGCTGACTATGCAAATGACCCATAATAATTGGTCAATTGTAAAAGGTAACTTTATTCAGAACAGCTTACATACTGTGACAATATCTCTAACACCATCAAACGTGAAGCTCCTCATCATGTGAGGATGAATAGGTTAGGATTTAGTCCAGAGAAATGTAGATTTCTACATTAGATTATCTGCATTTATTTAATGTAATTTGATATAATTTGGCCTTAAGGACTTTGCTGGTAGAATCTGGGGTTTGTTTCTGCTAAACCATGATTGAACTTAAAGATTTGGCAGAACCTCTGAAACTTAAGGGTTTCATCTAGATTTGAGATCAAATGTATTTTCTATTTTGTGCACACTTCTCAGCCATAATCACAAGTTTCAGTCTTGAAAGGTGATCAAGAAAAAGCATTAAGTACCTAAACACAGAATAAATTACATACATATTCTCAAATAATGTATTTGTTAGTCTATGGCAGGGGTGTCAAACTGCCGGCTCGTGGACCGGATGCGTCATGCAGAAGCCGTGCCCACCCCATTGCTGGCAATGGCAAAACAGTCCCGATATGTTGCGCGCGATGTTACATGATGTCGCAGGTTTGACATGTCTGCTCTATGGGCTAAGATCGAGTGAACTAATATTTTATACAATAATCAAACCAACAAAATCTTCTTACCTCTTGCCGTTTGAAGTTCTGAACATACTCTTCAAACTGTTCATCTTTTGTTTCATCAGCTTTGCCTAGTTTCTGAAGCAC